CCTCCCGCAAGGCCGGGAGCAGCGTTTCCCTCGGGGAGACCCCCCTCACCCCCAACCCCACGCTACTCCCCAGCCCTCCAAGCCTGCCTGCGGGGTCTCAGCAGCCCTCCTCTGCTTCAGAGGGCAGGGGCGTGCCTCGCGTTTGCAACAGGCATCGGGATACTTCTGTTTTCTTCTCCGATAAGGTATGGCTGGTATCGGGCCGATACCCCAGTTGCGGTGCTGGCTAGGGTTTGGTGAGTAACACCAAATCTTATTTAACTTTTCCTTTCTACGCTTTTGTTTAGGAGGCTCGTTGTCTGCACGCCCTCGAGTTTTGCTCTGGGTGGAAACGAGACCACCTTTAACTGGCCGTAAGGTCGGCGGCGGGCATGGACCAGTACCCCTTCGGCGACGAGAGCGCGGTCCATTTGGAGATGCATCTCCCTGGATTTTCCGAAAGCCAGGGGCTGGTCTGTAGCGAGGCCCTCAACCACGATTTGTGCCTGGATGCGAAAGATGTGATGTACGGAGGGCTGAGCGGGCGGGGGGGCGGGGCGGTTGGGCGTGGGTCCCTGCCCTCCCACCCGCCGATGCGGCCAGCGACGCTCTGGAGGCCGATTTAAACGTGCTCCCTCTGTACCCGGCGAAGGACTGCCACTCTGTTCAGCTCCTTGATGAGTCTGACTCGCGGCCCTTGCAGCACGGTGAGCGCGCTGGACTCGGCGTTCTCTGTTATTTTGAAGGGTGCCTCGCAGATCAAAGCAGCCGGAGTTATTTAGTACCTTTATATAGGTGGCGGAGTCCATTACGTGGGAATATTTTTGGGGTAGAGGTGGGTATGTGGGGGTTTTTTAATCAGTAAGCACTTCGAAAGTGTTTCTTGTTGCCTTTTACCTGTAAAATGACGTTCAAATTGGTAAGGCTGTAGAAGATGATAATAATTATAACACCTCTCTTTGACAGGAATTTCACTTTTGTCCTGTTTTCTTAAAATTACACCCTAGACGGGAATATGTGGTTGGTTTTTTTTTCTTTTTTTTTTTTCCAAGAGTCCTTGCAACCTGCTCTCCAGCTGGAAATGGAAAACGCGAAGGCATTAAAATGATAGATTTGCTAAACATGTTGCAAACATCTATATTACTGGCTTTCCCTGAAGCGGGGAAGAGACATTCCGTTTAATTCTTTCTGCGTTTCAAATTCCCTGTGAAATGGATTAAGCAGAATGGGCTTTTTCTAGGTCTTGCCGTTGCACGGAGAGCGCCTTTAGTAAAACGCTCTTCTGGAGGGGATGGATAACTTAATTGCTCATGTCTCTAAAAGCGCGCGCCCTGTTTGGGTGGCTTGAAAACAAAACGAATGAAAATGTGTAACTAGCAGCGCCTGAGTAAGAAAAGGAGACTTTCTCCTGACAGCTGGGGCCTGCGTTTCTGCTGGTTCGCCAATTAATAACAGCTCGTTCCTTACTCGCGGGTGGGGAACCTTGGATTGTCTCCCAAAGTCCAATCCAGCGGGAAGCGCCTGGGTTATCACCCGAGCCGAATTGCTGTAGGTAAAATACCTTGAACAATGTGGCTTGGAGTTGTCCCGTTCCCTCCCTCTTTTCCCAAGAAAGAGGGGAAGTGGTAAAATTCATTACGACGAGGTCCAGAACGGTGAAGGACGTAACTTGTGTGAGGGGGGGACATGGGTTTCGGTGTTTGCGGAGACCCCAGAAATAAAGCAGCTCCGGAGCTGCGAGTCGTAAGCGGTGGGGCAGGTCTGTGGGACTTCCGTACTCGTTTTTGTGCGGATATTCAGCCATCGCAACCCGCGGGCCAGAGCCCTCCGACGGAAGCATTACAAAAAGAGATGTTATTAGTACTAAAGTGAGAAGCTTGTCATTGCAAGAGTGACCTGAGGATATCGCTTGCTCCCTTCCTTCAGAGCCGGGGCTTCCCGCGCCGATGGGACCGGAGGAGGCTGGAGGAGGAGGAGGAGGAGGCAGCGGCAGATCCGCGGGGAGAGGAAAGCGTCCCGGCTTTCCTCGGACCTCGCTGCCGGGCTGCAGCCGCTGCGGGAAGGTGTTCGGCAGTGCCAGCGCTCTCAGCAAACACTGCCTGACTCACAGCCAGAAGCGGGAACACGTCTGCACCGTCTGCAGCAAGGCCTTCAAGCGGCCGGACCACCTGTACGTAGGCATTCGCCGTTAAAAACGCGTGGAGTTGCTGCGGCCTTATTTACCAAATGTAAATAAGGTTGGCCTGTGCGGCACTTCGTTTTCCAATTTCAGAAGTTACAGCGATTGTTAGTCTTGGTCGTGTTTTCAGGCTAGCAAACGCTGTGAAGTTGGGTTACAAAACGACTTCCCTAGAGGATGCAAATCAGCTTTGAATTTTCCAGAGCAGGCTGGTGCAGGAAAAGCCTCAAAAATATCTTATTTCCGTCCAGCTGCAGAAAAATCTGTAATACTGAGCCCTACAGTAGCAGCTAGTCTTCCCCCCCCCGTCTGATGACTGGCGTGGGGGAAATCGCGTGGAAGGTGTTTGTACTGGAGAGTCAGCTTCTGATTTTTGGCAGCCGCTGTTTTAGGAGCTCTTGCAAAAAATCACTTATCGATGCAACCGCTGCCCGGAACCCTACGCTTCCCGGTGCCGTAAAGCTTTTATTACTAATTCTGGAAGGCTCTCGAAACACCAGCGGATCGTTGCGGGTCCGGTTTTCGGTGGTGGTAGTCCGGGGCTAAATAAAACACCGTTACGCTTTGTGTCAGAGCGGGGCAGTTGCCAACAAACCTATTCTGTCCTAAAACGTGCCTTTATGAAGTGACAGTCTGCAATTCTACAGTCAGTTTCCCGTTGGTTTAGGTAACGCGCCTGCCTAACTTTTTCTGTCTCTCTACCGATTTCGACTCTACCCTTTTCTACTCTAAAACAAAAGCGAATTGTAGCCAGCCTTTAGTTTGTGTCGACTGGCATCGCTCACAGGTAGGACGTGGGTTGAGATCCCTGCCGAGCTGTGTTCTGATTTGCTTCAGCCTTGCTGAGCGCGGGGGGCTGATAGGCCGGAGAGATCCTCTTGGATTTGGGGAGAATTTCGGATCCCTTTTGAGTTGTCTTTCTGGAGAGGTGATGGAGCAAGCGGGATTGTTCTGCGTCCCAGGGGGAAAAGCAGTCGGAGGGCACTTTAGTGAACCTCTTCTGAATAGAGGCCAAATTCCGCTTTGATTTATGTCCTGTGCCGCGTCTCTGCCTTGAGCAGAACTGTACTAAACAGAGGGACTGCAAGAGCTGCAGTAGCTTAGGTGCAAAATGACTTCCTTTTTCAGCTGGAAACGCTAACACGCAATGTTTTCTTCTCTTGATCACCTCAGGAGCGGACACATGTTGACGCATCGGAAAATAAAACCTTTCGTGTGCCCGGAGCGAGACTGCGATAAGAGTTACTGCGATCACCGTTCGCTGCGCCGGCATTACGAACTGCAGCACGGCTTGTGCCGCTTGAAGGAGGCTCCCAAGGAAGGCGCCGGGGGGGAATCCCCGCTTCTTCCCGGTCCGTATATCCAAGGCTGCGGGAAATCGGTGGACAGACTGACTGCGCGCTCAGAGTCGGGCTCTTTCCCACCCGAAAGAGACCCGCTCGGGTGCGCTGCCAACGGCTTTGCGAACCAGAAGCTCCCCTTGGCTGCCTTGCCCGCCGCAGAGCACGCGGGTGCTGCCTGGACAGATTCCTCCCCAGCGAGCCAGGCCTCTTGCCTCACGTCTAACAGCAGTGGACTTTCGGAGGCTGCAGGAGGCAATATATCGAAGGATCGCCTCTCTTGCCAAAAGAGCGCCGCTTCTTCCGACGTCTGTGCCGTAATAAGTCCCAGGAACGTGTCTGTGATCGCGCCGGCTGAGAACGTAGTTACCAACCTGACCAGCAGGTCTTTTATTTCAGAAGCCCGGCTCTCCTCGGAGCCCGCGGGGCTGCAGTGTTGTCCCGACGGCGCCCTGCCTTGTTTTCCTGTGTTCGGAGGGCAGAAGCCGTCTGCAAACCAGTCAGGCAGTAACTTTCAGTGGATAAGAAACGTGCCGGTTTGTGCTAAACCCAAAAGGGATAGCGTCTGCCTTGCCCGCAAGCCGCCTGTCGCAGCGCAGGGTGTTTCGGAGGGGTTCGCCGGACCTTCCTGCGCCTTCTCGGCCGCGTACGAGTGTCCGGATGCTTTGTCTTTCCCCGTTGCCCCTTTTAAAGCTGAAGAGGACGCGCCGAGTGAGTCGGCCCTCGGTTGTTTTGAGGAAGCCTTTCAATCGGCGAAACCCCACGACTCCCACCCGTGGGAGAACGCCGGGGAGTTGAGTTTTCCGGAGGTTTGGAAACACGGTGCGCTGCAGAGCGAGACCAGGCAGCTCTTCCCGAAACCCCAGGAGCCTGCTGAGGGCCTGGAGCAGCTGCAGGTGCAGCAGCACCTCTTCCGGGTGATCGCCAAGTCTCAGCAGCTCCTGTCTCACTCCCAGGCGCTGGCTCCGTCCCCGCTGGTGGCTCCCGAGGCCAAGCACCTGCCAGCAAACCCCCTCCAAGCGGCGTTTCAGCAGCCGCCCCCCTTGGCTCCCCAGCTTCCGCAGCCGACGGAGTACGAAGGGCCTTCCACGTACCTCCAAAAGGCCGTACCCCAGTTCCAGGGCGTTTCCTCGGACGGGGAGAAACAAGGACCGCAGGCAGCCCCTGCCTTTCAGTCCCCCATGAAAGAACACGGGGGATTAAGAGACTCCTCTGTTCCCAGCCAGCTCCAGCATGGAACGCGTGGAAGTGCCGTGGGAAGCCACTCTTCTGGGAGGTCGAATCAGCTGGAAAACAAGGCTTCTGCATTTAAAAAAGAGAGGAGTAAAGATCGTAGCACAGAGACGGGCGGGAAACCGCCGGCGGGTGCTGGCCGGTCTTGGCGTCTGCCTGCCGTCCGCAGGGAGAGGCTGACTTTTGGCCTGAGCTGCGCGGCTCCCCCGAGCCAGGTGGCTATGGCGTCCTTCTCGTCGGCTCCTGCGGCCGGGGGGACGCGCAGGCTGACCATTTTCAACAGGATTCAAGTACGTCAGCGGGCTCTTTCTTCGCTTTGAGCGGTCTGTTGCTTGAGTTTGGGCCTCGGAGCCGTTGGCTGTCTCCCTGCGCTCTTTTAGGTGCTTTTTATTAGTGTTGAGAGCTCTGGATTCACCCATAACAGTACTTGCCGCTTGCACGGCAATTTACACATCCAGAGCGCTCTGAAAACCATTAACTAATTAATCCAGTGCCAAAGGTTTGGAAATAACTTAACCGGATCAAGTCTTGGGATATTTAGTAACGTGATACGTAGCCTTTCACCTGGCTTCGTGGTCGGGCTTGCGCCCAGGTCAGTGATGATCAAAAGCTGCGAACGCCTGAAGGTTCAGCGAGCTCGGTGCCCGTGGAATGGGAGCCCCTTCCTCGAGCAGAAATAATTGGCATCTCGTCGCCCGTGGGAGGGCAGGGAGATCAAGAGTCAACCTAAACGAACGTCTCGCCTTCGGAGGCTAGCCTCTGGAGGTCGAAGTCAAGATAATTAAGTGAGGGTAGTCAACAAAGAGTCAGAATAGTTAATTGAGGGTAGTGGTGGGAGCTTGCGTTACGGATAAACGTGCTGCGGCTCTTTTGGGGACTGAATATCTCCAAGTTTGGGGTTGGTCTAAGTGCTTTGTTGGTAGTTAGTTGGACGCCAGGCTTACAGGCGGATGTGAAAACATCTTGCCCCGTCCCGAGGGGGCTCGCCGCTGCCTCGTGCGTCGGGCCGAGGGGACTGGCGGCCCTCAGGACGGGGAATTTCTAACGCGCTGAGGTTAAACCCCGTCTGTGTTGCTCCCGTTTCCGCCCTGGCTCCTCGAAAAGGTGTTGCTTCAGCGGCCAGTGGCGTAGGGGAGTCTTAGATTTGCAGTCCTCTAACTCCAGGAGATTTTTGGGGGCCTGGGTGATGCGTGGGGCACGAGCGAATCCCCGTCCTGCTCCCGAGTGCCTGTTGTCGACCGGGCAGCGTGGTGTTGGCAGAGCCGACGCCCGCAGCAGCTGGGGATCGGGATGATCCCGTCCTCCCCGCGTCACTGGAGCTCTGGAGCCGGGCACGTGGCACGGGAACGGCGCGTGGCCGAGGAATCGGAGCGTGGCCGCCCCTGCCTGCGGCTTGTGATGGAAATAATGCGGTTTGATACCGGCGTTGTGTGAACGGGGATTCCCGTTTGCACGTGCGCTTACAGCGTGCACGCATGTATCGAAGTGTTACGAGGAGTATCGATTAATGACTGTAAAGATTTATGGGATTTGGTAACGAGCGTTGCTTTGCTGCGCAAGTGCAAAGTGTTATTTTCATGGAGAAAACGGCTCAGATGGTCCATTTTTTTTTTTTAAAGGCGGAATGACTATATTTTAAGGCTTTACTTGCAGGCAGAATAACATCTGCTTTTGATTATTGTTTCTTTAACTGCAGGGTGGAAATATCTACAGCCTCACGAACGCAGCAGAGGAAGAAGACTCGCCAGCTGGGTGGTAAGGAGGTTGCACTGAAGTTTTGAGGGTGGCGGTTGTTTTCTAGAGCGCGTTTTAGCACCTGTCAGGCGCATTTCTTTTCCCTCGGGGTTGAGACTTAACGTAGCCCGTTCATTTGGCTAGCTTTGGATTGTGCTAATTAATAGGTGTTTAAATTAGAACGGCAAGACTTCTCAACCTCATTTCTAACCCACGATCGTAAAAACCGTGCAGCGACTGAAGCGTGACCGGGAGGTGACTTGGGTGAAATGTTTAAGACTGTTAAGGACGTAATAAGGAATGACCTGGCTTGTTCTTTTCACGCATTACAACGACGAAAGACCAAAAGTTCACTGTGGAAGTAAAGAAATGGAAATCTGGGATAATGTGAAGGGATTCACCTCGTCGAAGGCTTTCCAGGTGATGGGGGGGGGGGCGGGGGGAGGGGGTGCCCGTCTCATTCCTGGTGAGCAGTCTGCCTGTAAAGAGTATTATTGCACTATAATCGTTGAGGCAGGCCCTGAATTTAGGTCTTAGAAGCGATTAGCTAATTTTATGGTTAATTTTTTTTTTTTAGAGTGAGTTTGTGACTCGATTCTCGCCGTTGAAGAAAATAAACACACTTCCCTCTTCTTTGGCAATTGCCACTTTCTTTTGGCGCAGGGGCTGCACACCTCTGGGGTTCTCTCTGTACGTAAATCGTGGCTGTGCCACCTTACTGCCCAGGCTAGGTCGCTTGCCGTTGGCTGAGCGAGAAAGCAAGCTGCTCCCTGGAGAGGAGAAAATAAAAAAAGAGATTTTTATAATCTCCGTCCTGAGCAGCAGCGCAGTCCCCACGCAGCCTCGGGAGAGGTGCCTTTCCTGCAGCGCTGCTGAGCAGCGCAGGTAAGGGAGCCGCTGTCTCTCAATAAGAAAGAAGAATTTCGTCGCTCTTTGGCAACAAATGAAAGCCGTGGTTCCTGGTGAGCCATGTGAAAATCATTACCCGGTCCAGCGGCCTCGGTAGCCTGCCCGGCCCTCCGTTTCCGTGTCGGAAGAGGTTCCGAGGATTAGCCGGGCTATAGGAAGGGCGAGGCAGTAAGTATGCTGCGCTGGGAAGCTTTAACTTCGTTTGCTTTCTCAGTCATGTGGGTAGAGAAACGGCTCTGCAGGACTTTGGACGTCGCTTTTCGCAAAGGCTGCATTCGCACGGGGGAGTTACCCGCAAACGACGCGTCTTCCCGCTCACGGAGTGGGATCTGTCAGAAATCCCGCCGTGCGTGGATCGCGTGGTGGCGAACGGAAATCCGTCTGGCGGTTTCAACGCAGGCCGTTCTGTTTTGGTGTCGCGGTTCAAAAGCGACAAAAGCATGTACCTTTGAAAATAATATTTGCGCGTGTCTGTTCATAGGTACAGTTCCTGTAACCGCTCAAAAGAGGAGGTAGCTTTCTTATTCTTACAGCTCTCTTATTTAAAGCTGTATCTTTGCAACGCTGGCGATTGATGCCCCGCTGGGGATTTTTCTCTAGTTAACGTCTTTTGCTGCTGAATGAACTGCAGAGATTTCCCAACTAGACGTGAAATGAGCTCTACGGCGGGAAGCGTGAGCGTGGATCTAACGTTGATAGTCATTAAGTTATTTTCTTTTTTTAAAAGTGGTTCAACTTTATAACGTTAATTTTCCATCCCTTTATCTCGATTTTTCACTTAGCGATAAGAGCGGTGCTGCTCCTACTGATGGCAGCGGCGGTGAAAGCGGCTTTCTCCGCAAGGACTGCGGTCAGCTGTTTTACACCGAGAGCGGTCTGGAGAGCCACGGGTGTTTTCGTGGCGAACAGTGGCGTCCACCACAAAGGAAGGAGGAACAGCAGGTAAAGGGAAAGAAACTGAACCCTTCAGTGCTGGTTATTGAACAGGAATTTGCATTAAGGTCGTGAGGATTCTTTAAAACCTGCCTGTAGCGTATGGAGATAAAAGCTGTGGAGTAACTCACCCTTTGTCCTGAAAATTCCGATGAGTACAGGAGTGGGACCCAGAATCAGGGTGCCGTTTGAAGCCCTTCGGGTGGTCGTTACGTAGCGGACGTTCTTGAACGATCGTACTATTTTGAAAGCTGCTGCTATTTGCAGCAATGTTCCTTACTCTACAGCTGTGAAGCGCGCGCGAAAAGCGTAAGCCCGACTGTTCTAGCTGATAGCGTGAACTTGGGAGCTCAGTTCTGTAAAAATAAGAATCGGGAATTGGCGCGGGAGGGATTCCTGTCCTGGGCTCTCGCTAAGTTACGTTGTGCTTAGAGAAACTTCCTCAGCGTGGCGGCTCTTATCATCATTATTTTATGTAATGGAGAAACAATTCGGAAGCGACTTGAAAGAATAGTTTGCGAAGCGCCGTGGTGTCCTCAGATGGCTGATGCCAGAAGATACACCTCGTACCCTTGTCTGTGTTTGCGGGAAGGTGTGCGATGCCGGAGACGTAAACGCTCAGGGACTGTCGCTCCGGGCGGCAGGAGGTGGAAACTGTCCCTCAAAACCCGAGGTGCCTTTAGAGGACGTAACAGCGGCTCCGCTCGTGATTCCCGTCTCGGTGCCGGTGACGGCTGCGAACTCGCAAGGAGGGAAGGAGGTGGGTGGCGATTGCACTCCTCGAGTATTTTAACGATTTAGCAGTGACACCTTAGTTGGCCGGCTTCGCTGAGCGGAGTCGCGTCTTTGAGCGACTGCTCACCGGCGTGCGAGTTTCGCTGGCTTAGCCGGCAGCTTAGCGTTACGGCTCCCTTAAACCCCCCAAATTATATTCAAATGACGCGGCAGTGCTGGCCTGGGTGGCGATTACTACGGAAATGGACGTGGTAAAGGTCCCAGGGTCCGTCTGAGTAACTTGTCGGAAACATGTAACCCACTAATCGCCTTGAGTTGTGTGAAAATAAAAGATGGCCTGGGAAGTATGAACAGTAGGGTGCAGGACAGATACCTGGCATTAAAGCCTAGGAAAATACTCGGAGTTTTGCTAGGCAATTTAAAGAATTTCAAGACGATTTCAGAAGCTACTTTCTTCTTCTTTCAGCACTCTCTCTGACTACAAAAAAAAGCCTTGCAGAGGGTTCTTTTCAACAGCTCTCGTTCTCATGAGTGTGCCTGTTGGCTTCCCCAGAGCCGTCTACACGAGTGAGGACTGGAGCAGAGGGTCCTCTGACTGCGCTCCTCGCGCAGGTTTGGGGATTTGGTGTTCGTTATTGAGCTCGGAATAATAAATCATGACACCGAGAGTCTAGAGGAAAACCAGATAAAAACCCTACGCAATCTCAAGCTTTCTTCTGTTTTCAAGTGCCTTGAACTTGTTCCGCTGCTTTTCTGTGGATTTGACGGTTTGTTTGGAATTGTTTGTCCAGGTTACTGAAAAGGAGAGCCCGGATGGGAAGGACCTGGGAGAAAACTTGCACCAGAGAAAGAGGCAAACGCGGCCAAAATCGCTCTTTATCCCACCTCCGCCGGCCCCTGAAGCCCAGCCGGGGATGGGAGGGTGTTACCAGAGTAACCTTCGTTCGCCCGTGTTCCTGGTGGATCATCTGCTGAGAGACTTGTTCCAGCGCTCTCCTTACACGCCGCCTCCGATGCTCAGCCCCGTGCGGGAGGGATCAGGCCTCTATTTCAGCACTCTCTGCTCCTCCTCTGCTAACGGTGATCCCAACCAGCTCTTCACTGCTGTATTAGGTAATAAAACCCTAATGTCTGCGCTCAACAGGTAGTAGAACTGGAAGGGAATCCAGCTGGCTATCATAAGGACTGCAGGAACAGAAAACT